TGGAGGGGGAGGGGAGGGTCTCCCTGCCCCTGCCCAGGCAGGGAGCCGGTCTCCCTGCCCTCACCTGGGGGGCCGGGGTGGTGCTGCCACAGCCCCGTGTGGCCATGGGCCATCGACCAGGCCGCCCCGGCCGGTGTTCGCTGTACGTCCCCTCGCTCCTTCGTCGGTTTGTTGTTGCACATTCCAGGACATCAGTATTTTAACGGTCTCGAAAGTGCCTTTTCTATCGTAGTTTCTGGGTTGTTTTTATTTTCCTCCCGTTGGGCTCCATCGCTGTTAGCGTAGCGTTAAGGACTGCAGAAGTAAGAGATAAGCTAACGACTATAACACTATATTTCCTCCAGGGGAGAGGAAGTTTATTAAGAAAACAAAACAATAAAAGTGAAGTTGAAGTAAGTTCCTGTTTCAGTCTGAGGTGGGGGCGAAGCTGGGGGACAGAGGGACACGACCTCAGGGGCATGGCTGGCTCCCCATACTTCCCACTCAGTGGGACCTGTGGGAGGGGACAGCTCAGCGTGTCCCCTAGGCAGAAGCACAGAGCTCTGGGTGCTTCCCGTGGTGCAGAGCCAGAGGTATCCGTGTACTCAGCCCAACAGCATCCCAACCTGCCATGAAAATGGCTCCCAGGTGCCATTTGAGTCTGGGCAGCTTTCAGTGCCCTGGGGACACTCCTCCTTCCCCAGCTGCCTCCCTCCTCCTCCTCCTCAGGGTAAATCCCAGCCCTTTGCTGCGGTCAGTCCCCACCCAGGCCATGGGAAAGGCGGGTCCCTGCTCCCTTCCCGGGGCACGGAGCAGCCAGGCCAGGTGCTGGAAGAGGACATGGCATTTATTGGCTACCTATAAGTTAAGGGTGAGGGAGAAGGGAGGTGGGGGCAGCAGGAGTCACGTCTCAGCTTTCTGGCTCTTCTCCTTCTGGTCCTTGGCCTGGATGCGGAGCTCCTCGTCCAGCCGCTCCTTGGCTCTCACCACCTGTGGGACACAGGGAGGAGGTGACAGGGGGGGACCCTGCCTCTTCCACGGTGACACTGCAAACAGGGGAAGGTGGCGAGGGCAGGGCTGGGCCCTTGGCTCACCTTGGACTGCAGGTAGAAGGAGCCTCCCACCGACTTGTCGTTCACCTTGAACAAGTGGTCGTAGTTCTGCCCAAGATAAATCCCCCCTCAGATTCTTCTCCTCCACCCTCCCCAGCCCTGAGCCTCCTGCTGTCCCCAAGTGCCACCGCCAGGATGTGGCTGCCCTGCCCGACCTCTCAGCAGGTTCCCACACTCCTGGACATGTGCCACCTCCTTCCCCAAGGAGCAAAGGCAGGGGCTGAGCCTGGCAGGCTGCTGGGAAACCTCCAACTGGGATTAACCAGGCCCAGGGCAGCACCCCTGCTCCCTCTAGGGATGACGCCCCCCCATGCCACCCTGCACGGGGGTCTCCTGGGCCCTGAGGGAGCCCCTACCTTCTGGATCTCCTCCGGGTTGAGGTTGGAGACGTTGAGGATCTGCTGGGCTTCCTGCAGGCTGATGCCAATGATCCTGGAGGCTGCAGCCGACTGGGGCCTCTCCGCGCGGCCCCGTGCATCCGCCGCT